TGTAATTGAGAATGTGTGTCATGCTTTAGTGCAATATTTAATCACACTTCCATTCCAGCAATAGTTTTTAAAGAAACATCACTTATGTTAAGCAGATAATGTACGTTATATCCATAAGGGGCATGAAACATTTTTTGTAAAATGAAAATATCATCATTAAGGCTTTATAGTTGCAGGAGTCTTTAAAATTAAAAAAAAAATCTGCAAACAATGTTTCAGTAATTTTAATAATTAGAGTATTTTACCTTCAAAATAAAGAGGAAGTTGTGTAAAATTGCAAGCTGCCTTTCTGCAAGTAGTGATGATGTAGGGAGTTATAAAAATAATAGATAATATATTATTCTATATGTGGGGCGTGGCAGCAGACACTTGTAACCCCAGCAGTCTGGAGGCTGAGACAGGAGGATTGCCCTGACACTGAGGACAGCCTAGGCTATGTAGGAGTTCAAGACCACCCTGACTCCATGGAGAGATCCTGTCTCAAAAAACCAAAGGGGGAAAAAGTGTGGTTTTTAGTGCTGCAAAGAATTTATGTACCCTCCAAGCAGAGGAGGTTGAATGAGGCTCATAGTCCTCTGTTTCTCTTTTATTGTATTTCCAAGGAGAAAAGGCTGATTTAAATGAAGATGTATTTATTTGCAACAGCTTATTAGGCAATGCTATGACATGATCTCAGCAGTTTCTTCCACCAAAGGATCAACCACTCCAATAACAGAATAAAGTTTCACATTTGAAAAAGCATGGGGAAGACGCTGGTTCCAACCATATCCAAATTCGGCATCACTGTTCTTCATAATGACTTCAAATTATATTCTTGCTATGTGTGTTGCAAGGGGGAAGGGAAGATAAAGGAGTTTGCAGCTGGTTTGAAGGTTCCTGTATGCAAATCAGCGATTTTAAATATGAGGACCTTGAATGTCACATATTAGCCAACGAACTTTTGCACCAACCCTAACAAAAGAAGCTCACTGTGATTTCTTCCAAATTGTCTACAGTTTAAAATAAGAAACTCTGTGAGCTCCTTGATTTAAGAGCACAACTTTGCCAGGAGGACAGGTGTGTTAGTAGACCTACAGATAAAAGGTTGGCATCCAAAATTCGTTCTGCGAATTGGTCAGCAGATGGCACCATAACTCCGCTTGCTGAGCTACTCGCCACCCTTGTTCAGGCAGTGTTTCTGCGGTTAGAACACACATACCGATTTTGTCATTTTGATATTTGAAGTTAACACACAAACATTCTAAAGCACATTTTAAATAATTTTTAATAATGGGCAGACAATATAACGAAAGTACAGTTGCTTTCATAGATACTCGCTTTACCTGAGTTCGAGTTTACTGAGAATGACCCATGATCAGTTATGAAAGCTTTCTTAATGTCATGTGAAGGTTGGCGAGGCTGGAAAAGGGGTTCGGGATCAAATGATAAACGACAAGGTCAAAGGCTTGACCCTGAAATTCCAGAGAGAAGAGCATGATTGCGTGTGAGTTCGCAGGGAGAGGGAGAGGCCGAGAGGGCCTGTGGACTGCAGCGGCGGGGCGTGTTGCAGGCGAGAAAAGGAAAGACGCCACACGAAAGAGATGCATGCATTTGGCCAGGCTGATTTAAGATACTGCGTTCTCATGTTTCTCCCCTTTGTGTATCTTTTAGGACTTTGGCTTCCACAATAAAACAGTAATCAGGATTCTGATTGCCAGAAGTGAACTCGATCTGCTGACCATAAGGAAGCGGTACAAAGAGAGATACGGCAAGTCCTTATTCCACGATATCAAAGTGAGTCTCCCGTGCGTGATTTACTCAGATCCATGTTTCATCCTTTCAGAAACTAATAAAATCCTTAATCAAAGCAACTTTTAGAATCCAGAAGTTTGAATATTATGACAAGCACGATCCACTTCCTCAGACACCTTTAATGCATCCGCAGATGCTAACTGAAAATCACCCATCAACGCAATGGCAGAGCCTTTTCTTTCTATTTTAAGTAAGATACTTGATGCAATCGTGTAGAATATTTATTGCTTATAATGTGCTTTAAGATCAGAACATGGATGTCTAATCAGACTCAACAAATACGTATTTTCCAGCAAGACCTAGGAGTGCTGGAGAGGGTTCTTACAGCTCTCTTCTCCCACTCACCACAGAAGGCAAGCTACATCAAATACCATTAACTGGAAACTGGAGGAATTGGACACTTCTAGCTATGTAAACTCTGCACAGTCTTATCACTTTATTTTTGGAGAATAAAGAAACAAGGACTCAGAAATGAATAAGCCAACACTGTCATTCAGACACTTCTAAACTTTATCTTGGATTTTTTTTTCAATGCAGCAAAAAGTATCAGCGTATGCAGAGCCGTGGATGTAATTTAGAGTGCACCATGGAGAAATATTAGTTCTTGTTCAAAAAAGTTACAGTGGGGCTGGAGAGATAGCTTGGCAGTCTAAGTGCCTGCCTGGAAAGCGCAAGGTCCTGAGTTCATTCCTAGGTATCCCACGCTGTGCCAGCTCCAGAACCTGGGCACGCCTTGCTGGCCCCGAAACCGGGCGTGGTGGCTCACATCTGTAATCCCAGCACTGAGGAGGCTGAGACAGGAGGATCACTATGAGTCCAAGCTGCATAGCAAGACCTTGTACCAATAAATAATTTTTTTTTAGAAACTTACAATGATTTTTAAGATGGTGACATCTGAGCAACTGAGGATCTGAGTAGGCTGGGAAAATTTAGAAACTATGAAATAGCATGAAAAGAAATCAAAACTTTCCTAATTTTTCACCTCAGGTAAATTATTCATGTAATTTTGTGATAAGTTCTGCTATGCTAAGGATGTTTGTGTCCCCCCGCCCAAACTTTCTGTGTTTAAATTCTAATGCCATGGTGGTGGTGTTAGAGGGTTGGGCCTTTGTGCGACACTTACATTATGAAGAGACAGCGCCTGGATGAAGTTAGTGTCCTTATGGAACAGACACAGGGAGGACTTTCCCTAGCATGGGAGGTTTCAGAGCCAGGACGGCTGTTTATGATACGCAGGCTGCAAACCTGCTGGCACCTGCACGATGGACTTCTCAGCCTCCAGAAGTGTGAGAGAGAAACTCCTTGTGTTCACAAGCTACCATGTTTGCAGGAGTTTGTTACATCAGTCTGCACAAACTTCATCAGGTGCTTTTTGGTTTGGGGGAATAGATGCAAAAATTGATATTTTGCAAATATAAAGGAATATTTTATTGAATCATGGTATCCTACTGTATAAACTGTAAGGTACAAAACTATCATGTGTTATTTTACATTGATTTCAGTTTTTCATGGCTATATATAACATTATGGGATATGTATCGAAGATCTCTGCAGTCAGCAATGACTGATAGTACTTTCCTTGATGTGTATTGTGGTAGAGTTACTGTATTATTGAGTATAGATATGTTGAAAGCTTTTGAGACACATAGTCATTTGGTTCTCCATATTCTGCATTGTAATAACAAGATAGCTCTTTCTAAATTTGAGATTCCATTTTAATCCAAGTTATTGTAGTTGTAAGTGTGCACTAGAATCCTACCACCTTTATACTGCTAACTGCAACCATGCTATTATTTTTAACAACTTTAACTAAAAATAGTGCTGTGAAAGCATTACATTAAGAAGTAAAAGATTCAGGAAAGCTAATGGTCCTTGACTCTGTCAAACCCCAATTCAGAAGAATTATGATATTTCTCTAGAGATGCCATGAGATTTCATTCAAAATACATTTTTTTTCCCTTGCAGAATTTTGCTTCAGGGCATTATAAGAAAGCACTGCTTGCCCTCTGTGCTGGTGACATGGAAGACTACTAAATCAAGATGTCAAGAGACGGAAGAATCTGCAGGATCACTCTTACAGATCCATCGAAATAGAGGCTTAATTTGTGCTATTAGTACTGCAGAACCACAGAAGGATGTTTTTTCTTGTATCTTTAGAATTATTTCAGGCCAAAACTGCATTATTGAAAATATGTGATCCTGGATTTGCTTGTTATTTAATCAGCAACTAATTAAAGTGTGTGTGATGAAACAGTCAGGAAAAGGCATTGTCTTGGGGTAGATTTTGTTTAAATGTAAACTACTAATAACCTACAATGAGAAAGACATCCCTTGATTTGAGAGTCGAGTGAAAATGTCTTGTGTGAACACCTCCCTTAGGAGAATTTTCTGGACTCTTGCACAAATAAAATAAAGCTAATGTGATCATCTGAGGCAACCTGCAAAAGGAAAAAATATATAAAATGGTAAAACACACCAAGAAATATGTTTACAGGGATCGATGTACAAGAGATTTAAATATAAAAATCCGGGGGGGGAGGGGCAGAGTGAGACCGAGTGGTATTTGGCTTGTATTTATAATAATACTGATAGAGGCAGTTTATCTCTGGATGTTATTATTTCATATTTGGCCACTTGCCCAAGACAGAAAGGTCATTGCTCATGGATTTTTGTCTTTTCTTACATTAAGGGTGAGGGATTCACAAAGGGATTTGAGGCAAGGACATCCAGCCTGCAGAGTTATCTTTAGATGCTGTTTCTGGACTCCCTGATTTTTTTCTTAAAGAAATTACACAAATAATGTACTTAACTCTTTCCTGCTATTCTTTCTTTTAGCTTTCCAAATAGGTTGGTCATTTTAAGTACTTTTACAGTATAGTTGTTTAAAATACTTGCATTTGTTTTCCAAAAAAATATGCTTTATTTTCTTTACATTGAATGTAAGTATTGAAAGATAAAAGTCACAGAGTATTCACCAGAGTACTCATTGGGGATTCAAGTTTGTGATCAGATCCAAATAGCAACATGTGTGTTCTTTACCACTAGGCATTTGCAGTAGACTTTTAAGAGCATTGAAGACATCGGTAGTGTGTCAGAGTGTTGTAGTCAGAGTTTATAGGGGCACAGAGTGAATACAGGGTACATAATTTATAGGCTTACTCTATAATATTCACCCAAAGAGCCCAATGGAGAAAGGTGCATGAGATCTGTTCACACGGCAGTGCCCGAAGCATTGTTCTGGATCCCAGAACAACGTCCCGCATGAGTCCAGCTGAGTCCTAGCGCCCGGGGCAGTGTCTCATGCAAGTGTGTATCAGGGATCTGCACGGAGAAGGCCCAAAGGTCAGTGGAGGAAGCCAGAATTGGGTGCAGGATCTGTGCCAGCAGGCTGAGGGATTCGCACTAGAGCCAGGAAGTGATGCTCAGGTACGAGCATCACTTAATTAAACCACCACATAGAGCACTCAGGTAAGGACCAGAGCTCCCCCAAAGAGAACCCCAGTCATCTTCAGTGACAGTGAGGACCAGACTCCTCTGACATGAGAACAACTGAGCTCATACCAGGCAAGCCAGTGTAGCAAAGCTTCTCCAGGAGCAGCAACAGCGCACCATTTCCCCTCCAGTTCTCCTTTTATGCTGTTGGTAGCCAACCTCTGGTGTGCTCTCAATACCTGGAAGCACACTGATTCAATTCAGCTGGTGTTACAAATTTACCTTTAATTAAACCACCACATAGAGCACTCAGTGTTAATCACAATCTTAAAATAGCCAACTTTTATCTATTCCAATGATGTTCAGGTACTCTAAAAGCAGGCTCGGAGATAAGCATGCTGAGTACGTTGTAGGAGGCTGATGCAGTGGGATCAAGATTTTGAGTCCAGTTTGAGCAAAGTAAAAGCAAAACGAGCTGTCTGAAAGTGAAAATAATGAAAAGAGCTAGGGGCATAGCTCAGTGCAGAGGTTGAAGATTCGATCTTAAGGGAAGGAAGGGAGGAGAGAGGGGAGAAGAAAAAGAGAGACAAAGAAAGAAAAAGAAAGAAGGAAAGAAGGAAGGAAGGAAGGAAGGAAGGAAGGAAGGAAGGAAGGAAGGGAGAGAGAAAGAGAGAAAGAAGGAAAAGAAAGAAGGAAGGAAGAAAGAAGAGAAAGAAAGAAAAAGAAAAGGCTAGAGAGAAAGAGTGAGGGAATGAAGGAGAGAGAGTGAAGGAAGAAGGGTGGGGAAAAAGGACATAAATGTATCAAAACACAAATTTTCTCTGGACAACGGCGCTAGCATAATCTTATTGTTCAAACTTCTACTGAGGTCTTGTGTCAGTCTTTGGCTCAGATAAATGTAACTGTGCTAACGAGAATACTAGCACAGCAGACACGAGCAGTCACCCCAGGTCACACAAGTAGTCACACGGGAACTAGGAATTCCACCCCGGAGTGCTGGCTTCCGGAGGCTCGACTTCCTCTTCCATTTCCACTGCTTTGTAGCTAAAATGTCTTTGCTCTTTGGGAGATTTTAGACATTATCTTTGGAGTGCTGAATTTCTATCACAATATGTTAGCTATGTATCTCTCATTTTAAAAATCAAATCACTATTTTTTGAGAACTCTTTAATCTAGGGATTCTCTGTAGCCCTGGGCTAATCTTAAATTACATTTTCTCATATTATATTTTTTTATTATTTTTTACCACTCATTGTCTCCCAGTTATTTTCTCTTGGATTTCCTATGAAATGCATTTAAACTTTTATTATTCTTCCATTTGTCTTCATGTCTCTCTTGTTTCTATATATTATTTTGCTCTATTCTGAAAAATTCCAGACTCTTTATTTTCTTAACAAGTTAAAATTCTGTTTATTGTTCAGGAAACCAATTTACTTTGCATCTGCACTCATTCTGTTAATTTTTGAGAGCGTATACTTTTTCAATAACGCATATCCTCATCAACACAGATGTCAATAGCTTCTTGGTCCTTTGACAATACTAGTTGGAATTTTTTCAAGTTCTCTCCTGGCCTCTAAATCATTGTATTGTCAGAAATTAAGTCTACCTTCTTACTTTGTTTCTCTTTATTTTTCTATTTGATCGTGATCCTCACAAAGAGGATCCATTGTGATCCTCTGTTATTTTGCAATATGTTAAAAACTTTAAAACCTACAGCAATTGTCAACAAAGGTGTTTCGGACTGTCGGATCTTGTCTCTCCCTTATATGAAAGTGAAAGCTAATTATACCCTTCTAGGTATTTGTTTAGGGTTGAAGATTTTAGGGAAACTCTCCAACAGGCTGTAAGTTTGGTACAGCATGTTCTCACTTATAATTTATAAAGCAGCAGAAATGATTTTTTTTAAGTTTTTAAGATAAGAATTGACATGAAAATCTTGGGCATGACTTGTCAAGCTGAAATCATGCACTTAAGATGCTGTGAATCTGTCACCTGCTGATGAACCACAGTGAAGCCAGTTGTAGTGGGTCACATCTGGGATCCCAGCACTCTGGAGGCTGAGGCAACGGACTCATAAACTTAGCTCAGCCTGGGCAGCTTAGTGACTTAGACAGACTCTGTCTCAAAGTTAATTTCACAAAAGGGTAGGGATGCAGCTCAATGTAAAGACTCTATGTTTAATTTCAGGTACTGCCAAAAGAAATGTTATGATATTTACATACACTTTGAAATGCCATTGTACAGCTTGTTTGCTTGCTTCCTTGTTTATCTTTTGCAGTGATGGGAAGTGAACTCAGAACCTTTGCACTGAGCTATATACTCAGCTCTTTGACAAAAAAGAGGAAAAAAGAAAGAAAGAAAAGAAAAACAAATGAGACAGGATCTCTTTAAATTGTTCATTTTCCCAAGCTGCGCTCAAAACTTATGGTGCTCCTCTCTCAGACTCCCAGAGCACTGGGATCACAGATATGCACCAGTTACTGCCATGGCATTTTAAAAGACTCGGGCTAAAAATTCCAAAAATCTCATGTATATAATTTGATATATAAAACTCCTTTTTATAAAAGTTGTATAAATAAACTCTGTATTTACAAGAAAAGTAAGATTTAATTCTAGGCTTAAAAATTATAAATCATGAGCTGGGAATATAGCTCAGTGGCACAAGTACCTGACTAGCAAGTACAAGGTCTTGAGCTGGATTCCTTGTGTGTGTGTGTGTGTGTGTGCGCGCACACACACACACACACACACACACACACACACACACAATACCCCACAGGTGGGTATACTTTTCTGCTTTCTTTTCCAGTCTCAATGATTCTTTTTTCTCCATGAGACCCATGAATATTAGTTTCCTGAGATGGGAATGAGTTTGTTGTTGATTGAAAACATAAGAAAAGAGTCCTAGCCCAGGTCC